AGGTCACGACTCGTTTTTTTTTTTCTTAAACAAAAATCTAAAAGTTCATGCAATTCCATGTAAAAGCAGTTAGTAAACTATGTCTATAGATTATGTCTTTATATATATATATATATATATATGTGAGATCTCTAACATATTAGTAAAAATGAAACAGACTTTGGATGCAGTTGTTGGAGATGTAACTATCACAGCGTACAGGTCTTTGTATGCTGACTTCACGTTACCATACACAGAGTCAGGAGTGTCTATGATGGTGCCGGTGAGAGACAATGAGAATAAGAACACATGGGTGTTCCTCAAACCTTGGACCTTAGAATTATGGGTCACCACTGGTTGTTTCTTCGTCCTCATTGGTTTTGTTGTGTGGTTGTTCGAACATAGAGTCAACACAGACTTCCGTGGACCGCCTCACCACCAGATCGGCACTAGTTTTTGGTTCTCTTTCTCCACCATGGTTTTTGCCCACCGTAAGTTCTTACACCAATAATGATAAATGTTAAAACAATTCTTGGTTTTGATTTCAAAACCAATTTTCTGTAAATGAGACTATTGTTACGTAGTTTAGATATTAAATGTCAACTTATTGTCAATGTGATAATTTTTTTATTTAACAAGAATCAAGATTCTAATGATGAAGTAATTTGTGCGTGTGTATATAGGTGAGAAGGTAGTGAGCAACTTAGCAAGGTTTGTGGTGGTTGTGTGGTGCTTTGTGGTGCTTGTGCTCACTCAGAGCTACACAGCAAATCTCACCTCTTTCTTGACGGTACAGCGTTCTCAACCAGGGGCCACAACTATGAAAGATCTCATAAAAAATGGCGAAAAACGGTCTATTTCCCCATGAGAAGTATCGTATCACGCCAGATAGAGCCCATTCTTCTCGACCTCGCTCTATATATCCATGAAACGGAAGTTAGACACTTATTTTCCCCCGAAATGGAAGTTCAATATCTTAATCTTCCCGATTCGTGGTTACGTCGGTTTGATGTGTAAACCCGAGACGAAACCATGTATGGGTCGTAACCAAACCAAAAAACAGACCGGTTTCCTTATTATAACCCGACGTCCCTACCCATTGTCGTAACCAAACTCAAAATCCCCAATTCCCAAATTCAAAATCCCCAAATTCAAAACTCAAGAACCCTAAAATCCGATTTCTCTTTGAAAACCCGAATTTGAGTTTGAAGATCACCCAACCCAAGATTTTGCAGATTCAATTTGGATCCTTAGAAAATTAATGGTTTTTAGATTCTCGGGAGAGTTACTTCCGAACTACGATATCGATTCACGAGATTAATAAAGAGCTAAACCAATGTCAAACATGAAAGTCTTTTATCCAATCCCTTCTTAATTTTATTACTCAACGATAAAGAGACATCAAAATCTGCAAATCCATGGTTATCTAGCCTTCTCTGTTGATGCTTAGTCTTATTTTAGATCTCAATTTAGATTTTTTTATTTTGTGGATTACTGTATTTTGAAGTATTGAACTTTATATATTTTTATTTTTGATAAAGAACTGATTAACTGAACATTATATTACCAAATTAGAATCTAAAGCTTTGATTTTGTGATTCTGGATTTTGATCACATTCGATTGCTTCATTCTTGTTTTGAGAAAGTCAGAGTATCAAAGAAAATTGGAGAAGATTTTTTGTGTTATTTACCAACAATGGGAACACGATACATTGTGAACAAAAAAAAAAGGAACACGATACATATATAGCAGAACCAATGACTATCCAATTCCACAGCGGAGCAATTCCGCGGCGGAGCCACCACCACCGACGTTCGTCGTCGTCATCCCAACACATGACTTGATGAAACAAAATAATCGGAGCTAAAATAGATCAGACGACTTCTTCTTCTTCCTTTTCGCTTCATCTCCACTCGCTTCAACAACAGTGTCTAATTTTACTTCCTCTTATAATTTTGCCTTTGGTTCTTCATCTTCTTCCTCTGAGTTGTTTTTTTTTTTCTCCCTTTGAGTGAAATCAAGGATAATTGGATTGAGATTTTTGCCTTCGATTAATACAAGATCGTCTGTTATTACTTGAATTATTCTTGAATCTGTTCCATTGTTGTTACTTCTCCAATGTTGGTACATCTAAAATAAAGATGTCCCATTGTTGTTACTTCTCCAATGTTCCTGTCATTGTTGTTCTCATCCGTTCATCCCTTATGGCAATATTCCGGGAGAAATCTTCGAATTGAAGCATTCATCAAAGATGAATTCAAGTCCGAACAACATCACTGGCAAAATCATGGGTCGAAAGCTATGAAGATTCAAAATCAGGTTGAAGAAGAAGAAAACGGCTCAGTTACGGGTTGGGTCTTAGATAGGGTTAACTTTTAGGTCAATCCGGTAGGTTTTCTATTCATATTGGGAATTTTCGATTTGGGGTTAAGGGAATGAAATCGGGTTGTAATCGGGTAGTAATAGGGTTTATTTTGGTTCGAATTAGGTTTAGATGGTTTACCTAGGTTTCGATATACAGTAAACCGACTAAACCCAGCACGATGGGGTTTTACATCTTTAACTTTCAGAATTGGGGAGATTAATATATTGAACTTCCATTTCGAGGGGAAATAAGTGTTTAACTTCCGTTTCATGGACATATAGACCGAGGTCAAAGAACGGGCTCTATCTGGCGTGATAAGCATACTTCTCATGGGGAAATAGACCGTTTTTCCAAAAAATGGGGACTATGTAGGCTACCAACACGGGGCTTTCGTTAAAGATATTCTAAGAAATGAGGGATTTAATGATTCTCAGCTCAAGCCTTTTGGTTCTTCCGAAGAATGCGACGCACTTTTGTCCAATGGCAGTATTTCAGTAGCTTTCGACGAAATTGCCTACCTTAAGGCTATCCTTTCTCAATACTGCTCCAAATATGCCATGGTTGAACCTACATTTAAGACTGCTGGTTTTGGCTTTGTAAGTTTCTTCTTTTTCTTATCAAAATTATAAAATAGAGAGAAAAAAACACAGTTCGAGTATTCCGGTGTTTTCATTGCTTGTTTCCTTGATCAATGTGTAGGCATTCCCCAAGAATTCTCCTTTGACAGGAGATGTCTCAAGGGCTATCTTAAATGTGACTCAAGGAGATGAATGCGACACATCGAGAACAAATGGTTCATGAGACAGAAAGATTGTCCTGATCCAAAGCCGCTCTTTCGTCT